AAGTGACTTAGAACCAGTCCTTGTACTTACAACCGTCACAGCATCCCCACAGTCACATGATCAAAATTCAGTTGCTTGGCAACCGGCATGTATTTACAACGGTTGCAGTGTCCCAGGGTCACGTGATTGACATTTACAACCTTCCCAGGCAGCTTCTGACAAGTGAAGTCAATAGGGGAAGCCAGATTCCTTAACGACCATGGCAAAAAAGGTTGTAAAATCAGGCGTGACTTGCTTAATGACCACATTGCTTAGCAATGGAAGTTCTGGTCCCAATTGCGGTCGTAAGTCAAGGCCTACCTGTATTATGCAAAGATCTAGACAAGCTGACTTCCCAAGTTTTTTTCAATTCTATAACCCTTTGAGTAGTTCACTGAACCTAAGGAATTTATATAGTTTTACTTTATTTTTATTTTGCCTTTTAAGGATCAAGACTGGTAAGGAAACTTAGAACAAAAGTAAGAATAAAATATCACAATACAGCAATTGCAAAGTAATCCATAAAAAAGATTAAAACATAACAATCCCAGCACTTAAGAGACTGGGAGTTACTGGGACTTAATTGGTTCGGACAAATTCAGGTTAAAGGGCAATTAATTTCTAAAGGGAAAAAGTCCACAATTGTTTCACACCACTTACTGACCATACGAGAGCCCTACAAAATACTAAAACTAGCATGCCCAATCCAGATTTAATCAAAAGGGCTGCCACTGATATACTGTATGAACGGATAACTTTTAGTATCTGAAAATGAGATAGAAAGTAGACTATGAAATGCTTACTGCAGAAAAGGACAGGAACAAAATGCGGTCCCATGACTCAAAATCCAGAAACTGACAATGAAATTAACTTACCCCTACTGCGGTTATATTACACTGGTTCTATCTAGTCACTACACTGCATGGTATTTTAGTCCAGGAGCACTTCAGCTAAGTGTCCTCAGGACTACCATTCCTACACGGCCACACTAACTGGGGTTGATGAGAACTGAAGTCCTAAAGCATGTGGAGAGCATGTTGGCTTTCCCTGCTTAAACAACAGCTGATTCTAAAACACATGTTGGCAATCCTCATGCAGCTTTTGCTCCCTCTCTTATATTTTTTTATTTATATTTCAAATTTAGATACTGCCCATCTCACAAAAAGTGACTCTGCAAAAATCATGAACTGGAATATCTGATAATGCCACATCAATGGTCACAAGCCCTTAAGAACATTAAATTGGCATAAACTGATTTAAAATTGGATATGTAAAAAAATGTGAGGGCTGGCTTATGGAAATGTGTAATTCATTTGGTTTTGAAAAGGCAATTTTTTCCCACTAATCAAAAGGTAAAGGAATATGTTTTTCTTTTGTACAGATTTCATGTTATTCTACAACAATGGAGTAACATTATGCCATGTTTTTCTCCATTTGATAATAATACAGGACTATAGGGTATTTTCTCCAAACCAGTAATTTCTATACAACATTTAATATGGGATTATAACTTATGTATTTAGAAGCTTAGTATTTTATCTATGCTTTGTTTTTTTGTTGTTTATTCATTGTTTTCTATATTTCACTGTTTACCTTTTATGTTTTTATTTTTGTAATCTTGTTATAAAATATAATAAAATGGGAGGGGGGAAGAGACTGCGTTACTAAAACTTGACAGTTAAGTGCCAAACATCAGGAACGCAATTTCCCATCAATTTCTGGAGAACACAGTACAAATAAGGCATGTTAAGCCTTTGGACAGGTTTACTATACCTCAAACAGTGACCTCTACCTCCAAGGAAAACAAAGTTGCAGGTAAAAAGGGAAGAAATGGACTTTGCCACTGTCCCTTGCTAGCAGATGAAAATATTATTTTAAAAAGGTCCCCCCAACTGCAAAAAAGCCTGCCCTGTTGTAAGCTAAATTTACCCACCGTGCTAAACCATGATCTAGTTCAGTGTTTTTCAAACTTGGCAACTTTAAGATGTGTAGATTTCAACTCCCAGAAAGCTGGCTGGGGATTTCTGGGAGTTGAAGTCCACACATCTTTAAGTTGCCAAATTTGAAAAACACTGATCCAGTTTATTTGACCTACAATGATGTGTGAACTCAACCACTGTGGTTGTAAATCTCAGTTTATGGTCAGTAATTGGGTAATCAAAATGGTTATTAAAACTAACCATAGTTTATTAGCATAACATATAAACCCAGCCAATTACTTTGGTTACTACTGTTTGCCAAAGTGGCCTAACTTCTTATGCTGCTATTTATGGTCAACAGTGGTTGGCCACTGGATAGTAAAGGATCCTTCTCTTGAGGCTGGTTTAAACAAGCATGCAAAACTGATCAGGCAACGCGGGAGGGACTGCAATTAAAGAAATCTGTGATATGCAGTAGCAAGATAATTCTGAATCTATTTTGATTTCCATGATTTAAAAAGTAAGTGTCTTCAGTTGCAATGTTGCAATTCTGTATGCTGTTTGGTGGGCGGGCAGGAGCCCATTCGCACTGAGGAATAGGATAAATGAGGAGAGACGTCACTGGATGTCCAGCACTCCAGAAGGGTCACTTGTTCAGCAAAAGGAAAGTGTATTGTTTTGAATCCAAAGGTAAAAAGATGCCTCAGAGCGGGTGTAGGCATGCACCGTACACCTCTCAGTGCCTCCTTAAGGAAGCTGCACCTTTTCCTGTGCTTGTTGCACAATCCCAGGAATATACACGCCGAGTTAACAGCACACTGGAAATCACTCAAGAACATTCCTAGACCATTATCCATCTTGTGAAAAACCTCTAGCTGCCCCACTGTGTTGGAAAATGGAACCCACCTGCTAGATTATTATAATTTCACCATCTACTGTCTTGTTTCCCTCCCAGCTATTGGAAAATATTCCATTTTATAACTGAGCAGTGATGCAAGACTATGTAATAAATGCTCTCAACCAGCTCAGTAGATCAGCAAGAATAGATATAGATTTATATAAATTTTCCCCCATGGAATCCTAAATGCAGTTTTAATAACTATACCAGCAGCAAAAGCTGTTCCAAAGATATTAAAACTGGGAAGTTTTTCACTGCTTCAGCACTTCAGGATCCAAGATTAGTCCCTTTGCTGACTTTCCAAAGAGAGTATTGTGCAAATCAGAGAAGAGTTTGCTCTGTCAACAGTTTCCTCTTTTCCATTTAATACACACTGTGGCTGAACACTACTGTAAGAAAACCAAGAGGTGCATTACAGCACCCAGCACCAGTGCTTTATCAGGGAAAGAGAATGAAAGCTGACTTTTAATGCTGCCCAATCCTTCAACCAAAGCTAGGACTGTGGGGCCCATGCAACTGTAAAGGGTCTCTATGCCTTGAGACCCTTATTACAATGTTTACAATGATTACAACTACCATATTACAATGTAACCAAAGACAGTCTTGCAATTTTGCTCTCCTGCACGAAGAGCAGCTTCAGGGACCCCGTTGCAAACCTCTTTTTTGCCTTCTGAAGTCAGACTGGGGTCCGAGGCAGGACCTTCCTGATACCACCCCATCTCCAAAAGAGCCTGGATGCAGTCATTTTTATATATAGCTCTATTGGGCCATGTTTTTTTAACTCTGCCATGCAAATGATCATGGGTATGGATATAACCCCAATTGGGGGGAAAAAAAATCACGCACTTGGAAGGGACCATTTAGGTTATTGAGTCCAACCCCCTGAATATATTCAATAAAAAGGAGCCACTACGTCTCTTGAGTAATTTGTCCCACTATCAAACTGTTCTTATTGTTAGGAAGTTTTTCTAACTTCCCCAATCATCCTAATTATTCTTCTCTGAACCTGACCAGAACAGAATGAAATGAAGGATTACTTCCAGTGATTTGGAAATTATACTTCTATTGAAGTATTTGCTTTTTTTGCAGCCACATCATATTGCTCACTTTCAGTTTGCAATCAATTACTATTCTAAAATAGTTCTCATAAATACTATTCCCAACTATGTATTGCTATCCCATACCTTTCCATTTTTGTTTTCTAAGTTAAGAATTTTATACTTCTGTTTCTTAAATTTATTACTTTCAGTCAATTTCTTTTTTGACCATTAGGAGTGATGTCATATTTCTAACAGGATCAGTCAAGGTGCTTTGGAGAAGCCCATAAACCCAGAATAAAGATCGCAGACCCCTTCCATTGCTTGTCCCCACAATTTGATATCCAGTAGTACCCTGTCTTATTATAGCTTTGATGACAGTCTTCAATAAATCTCTGTTCTTCCAGGTGTTTACTTGCTCCCTGGCATATTCAGAAGTAGACCACTTCTGAATGGGGGGACTCATTCCCACGACTGTGCTAATAGCTATTGACTTCTTATATTATTTTTAAAAGCCATCTAAACTAAAGGTGGTGGTATATCTTGTGGCTCCCCAAAAAAGTATTCATCACATAAAGTAGTAAAGAAAATAGACAAAATTTATCAAGATTTTTTATATACAGTGGCACAGTTCTGCTAGTTCTGTACAAGTTTGTTCTGTGAATATTTTAAATATTTAAAAAGCACAAAATCATATAAATTCATACTTTTCCATTTATTTCCCCCCAAATGTGCATCTCTTAATATTTCATCTAATCATATTTTGTATGCAGCCCAGAGTTCACTGGAGTTGGGTGACCAATAAGTTTAAATGAATAAATAAAATGCATTTTAAACATATTTTAATTCTAACGTGTGCACAGTGATATATTTTGGCATGCTTTTTGATCCAAGAATGGCATCATAACCTTTTAGAGAAGGGCAACATTTGAAAGCTAATTACATGATGATGCAGACGTTAGTATGGGAAGAGCAGTTCAGGCCAGGTGGCATCAGATTTTAGAAAGAATGAATACCCCAAAGTAGCCCAGTCATTTGAACACATCCCACCAACTTGATGGAGCATATTTTAAAATCATTCAAAAGGCTGGATGGAAAATTAAGAAGAGGAAGAAAATATATGAGAAGCATGGAAGCCAAAGGCCTTAGAAGCACACAGTCCCTTACTTGAGGGGAGCTGCCAGGAGAGAAAGCTTGATTGGAGACAGGAGAAGTGGGAGACTGGTTGGCCGGGGAGCCAGCATTGCTGCGGTACTGCTGGAGTGAGCCCTACAGAAGGACACAGTGTTAGAGACTGTGGGGAACAGGAGGAAAGGGAGAGAAAACACAGGTTTCTTTCATGTACAGGTGGGTGGGGGAGAAAATGATAGAAGAGAACAGAAGGCAAGAAAAGTCCTGGATGAATTCAGCAGCATAGTACTGTTAAACAATGCTCTGAGAAGTCATGAACCTAAAAAGGATTTCTGCTGCAACCCAGGATCACTTCGGTTGCCTGTTTTCCAGTGTTTCTTCCAGCTTTGGGGGACTGAGTAATCAGCGCTCTGAAATATCAGCTATTTCCACATGCAATCTCTTTCTTAATAATCCACAGTACCACACATGCCTTTTCCTACTCCTGCATCTGACTTGGAGAAAAGCCATTACTTCAGCTCTCATGTTTTTTTCATACCTGCACAGCCCACAGCACAGAACACATCTACTCACCTAACTTGCCAAGCTCAAATCCTTTATTTTTCAGAGGAGTACTGCTAGCCTGAGGAAATTAGCTAGGTTTGCTTTAGCTTCATGACAGATTCAGCTTTAAAACGAGGAAGCAAGCCTCACTGCAAAGATTATTGCTTGGAAAACTTGCACAGACTAGTGGAGAAGTGTGAAGGATTTGTAGCAAGCCCCCACCCCCGAAATGGTAAGAGGCAGAACAGGAACAGCAGTGCAGACTGGCAGAGTGTATTTATAAAGGCCAGTGCCATAGTAATCCTGTCTTTCTTTTTTTAAAAAGCCATCAGACATGCCTAATGCTAAAATATGGAGGGCAAGACAGAAAGGGAGACAGCACAATTAAAGCCATCATAGAGCATTTTGTCACATCACTACTCCCACCCCCACCTGAAGTCACTGGCACCTTAGCTAATGGCTGTGTCTGAATATCACGAAAAACCATTGCTTACTGCAAGGGCAATTTATTCTGGGGTGAAGGCCACACTTTAAGTGGAATGCCATGGCCCATACTCCTAAAATAATGCTTAAAAAAATTAGTTAAAGACAGCTAATATGATGATTGAGAGCCAGTTTGGTGTAGTGGTTCAGGCACAAGCTAGAAACTGAGAGACTGTAAGTTCTAGTCCTGCCTTAGGCATGAAGCCAGCTGGATGCTTTTGGGCCAGTCACTCTCTCAGTCCTAGGAAGAAGGCAATGGCAAACCACTTGCAAAAATCATGCCAAGAAAACTGCAGGGACTAGTCCAGGCAGTAGCCAGAAGACAACACTGACTCAAAGGAAAATATTAAGATTCCTCGTGTATTTAGCATGTTTCCTCTTCTGTCACGCTAAAACTTAATTTTTCAATTAGCTTGAAGCCTCAGCTTCTGTGTAGCTTTCTCCTATTTGCAAACCTGTTCTTTAGAGCTGGAAACTGTGATACCTTGACACTTGAAGTGGTGTCAATGTACCACTGGTGGAAGAGAATGTATGTGGCATTTTGGAAAAGAGCTTATAATGCCCCTTGGTGCAAGAGTTTCTTTCAGGTGGCTCTGAGAGCTGCACCAAAGGTTAATGTTTTCTGCCTTCCTCTCTAATGTGCAGTCACAAGGAGAAGCCTGAAGCTTTTACCTTGCTTTTCTATTATCTGCTGATAGTCTTGTCACCCTGCTATGCCCCAATGTCATGAACTGGCTTCAGATGAGGAAGAAGAAAAAGATGAGGCACCTACTGAATTTGGTGTGGAAAAGCTAAACTTTAGCACCAACAGCAAGGCAAAAACATGCCCCATGCTTAGGCTGCTCCCAAGTATCCTGGCTCAGAGCTACTTGATACCAATGCAGTTCAGGTAGAAGCTGGAAACTTCTGGCATTTAAGTCCTACTGATTGGATCACCAACTTCAGTTCTTCTTGCACATCTCCTGTCCTGTTTCTTGACCCCTTGTCTAGATCTGAGAAAAACTACCTTTCCCTGGGGTAAGAAATTTTTGCTTATCCTGAACTCTGCTTCCAATTTTAACTGTGAGTGCCTCTGCAATTTACAACCTTAGACTCTTAATGATTTTGCAGGTTAGGACACAATCAAGCTGAACAGAGGTGATCAATCTTAGGCACGTTTTGTCCAAAAAACAAAAACAAACCAAAAAACAATTCTACCACAAACCGTGGCTTGAGGGCTTATTTCAAACCATTAAAATTAAATGCAGTTCAGGGTTTAGCTGCTAAGCTACAATTAACCTAAAATGGAAATTTCCAAACTCCTTGCAGCCATACCAGAAGAGGGGGAAAGTCTGCATAAAATGGGGAAGAAGGATGCTAGGATCATCCGACCCAGTGAACTAATGGTTACCCATGATGTCCAAACACAGTGAGTGACAGGCTAGAAGCAAGCTTCTTTGGGGTTGGAAACCAGGACCAAATACATCAAGTGACTCTGTGTGTTCAGCTTTAAGAACAATTTACTTGGGGCTGATGGGCACTGAAGCTTCTGGACTGGCTAGATGATACAAACCCCTCCCACACTCCTGACTATAGGCTCTTACCCAGCCAGAACTCCCAGCTGCCAAGACAGAACTTCATTATGATTGGACGCTGATCTCACCTGGCTCTCCAAACCCTGGCTGGGAGACTGCCTGCGAGGAAAAGAAGTGGCATGGAAAGGATTGCGGGTGGCGGATTCATGCCTTGAGCTTTCCAGGGGAAACTGCAATGGCCAGCCACAGGTCAGGGGATGGAAACTTTTTCAGGCACCAGGCATCAAAAACTAATGAAAAGACATGGGCATGATCTTGTGAGATTGTCATTTATTAGTTGGGCCTCCATGAAGCCCAGCTGGGAGAATTGCAGGTGAGACTGCAGGTGAGGTAGCATTATCAGGATACGTTTTCTAATTCTTTCTCAGGAAAGTATTAAAAAAAGGAAAAAAGTCAAATCACTCCTAAGTTGTTGGCATGGGTTGAGGGAGGAGACCTTCCCCTCACTCGCAGATCGCAGCATCTGGCTGATGCCTTTGGGCAGGGGACCATCAAAAAAAAGGAGCCAGTTTGGTCTAGTGGTGAAGGCTTCAGGCTAGAAAGCATGAGGCTGCAAGTTCTAGTCCTGCCTTAGGCATGAAAGCCACTGGGTGCCTTTGGGCCGGTCCCTCTCAGCCCAACTCATCTCACAGGGTTGTTGTGGTAGGGAAAATAGGAGGAGGAACGAGTATTAGGTACATTTGCCGCCTTGAGATAATTATAATAATAATTTAAAAAAAAATCCTAGGGCTTTAGGTTATATTGATCTTGATTGATTACACACCATCAGGTTGTTGTCAACCCTTAGCAACCACATTGATAGATTTTCTCCAGGACTACCTGTCCCTAACCCGATCCTTCAGCTCTTCCAACAGTGTACTCATTGCCACTGTAACTGAGTCTATATATATTGGATGATTGAAAAAAAACCCTGGAACATGGCCAAGGCAAACCATTTCTACGATGTTGCTAAGAACAACTAATATGGACATCTCTGTATAGTCACCAAGAGTCAAGCTCAACTTGTGGGAGCTGTCGACTTCCCTCCAAGCAGAAACTGTATCTCAAACCTGTTCAAAAACTCAGTCCCCATCCAAGACTTTTGAGAACCGTATTTTGCTCTGATAAGATTTCCAACCCAGTCTCTTCACAGAAGTTTCTATGACATTGGAGAACTACATTTTCCAGATGCTGTCGGGGAAGAGTGGCAATAAACCACATATTTCAATCCAGTTATGAACCGCAGCCTTAACACATCCAAAGAATACACTTTTCAGGAGGCAGCCAGCTCTGATGGTTGGCAATGCGGATCACCAAGCATCTTCCTACTTCCTATGCTATTGTCTGAGATGTCTGGGAAGCTGGAGGTCCCACCTCCTCTTCCCAATCAAGCTTACCGAATTGATGTCTATCCCCATGGAAGTCTGGGTTTGGCTGCCCGGAGGAGACTGTGGGATTGTGGAAGGGATAGAGACCGAGAGTGGGGGGAGCTGAACGCCTCGCTGCAAGCCAGAGGTCTGCATCAGAGAAGCATTGGGTGGTAAAGCATTCGCCACCTGTGTCTGTGGCTGCTGCTGCGCACTGGTCTGGGTGAAGAACGGGTAGGGAGGAAGCTGCTGTTCCATGGAGAGCGCGTCCATTGCCACAGCCTTAAGAAGGAAGAAACAGAAGAAGGGTATCACTGCAGTGGAATCAGATTTCTTGGGGCCAGTACTTCAGAAGTAAGCACTGAACTCTAGCATCTTTTGGGGAGGGGGGAATGTTCCTATTAACAATCTGGCTTCTTAGCAGTTCCCAGGCTCTGTGAACATATTTATGGAATTGGTGAATAGAATATCCACTGTGAAACAGTTTATTTACCCATAGTTTACTAATTGTGCACTGAACCACCATTTGCTGGACTAACACAACATGGGCTGTAAACTATGACTTAGAGGCCAATCATGGGTTCACATGGCATGCTAAGCATGGCATCAGCACAATGAGTTACAAATCATTGTGGCTGAGTTCAGTTGACGTGTTAAGCCAAATGAATCTTACTGGGGCTTAGCATGAAATGAGAACTAGGCATGTGCAAAATGTATCGAAGTCAATGCACTGGAAACTTAGGTTTGTCTAACTGCCTGCAAGTAGGATTCCTGATTTTTTTTCAACAAAGTACATTTAAAATGGGCTACTGCAGAGATAGTCAGATGCTGGCATTTTGGACTACAACTCCCATGATCGTTAATGAAGTCCAAAACATCTGGAGGGTACCAGGTTATCCATCGTGGTTTGGCATTCCACCAGGATACAGCTAAATAACCTCAAACAAGGACCAATATGGAATCGTTTACCCCTCCCACAAGCCACCGAACTGCAACTGAAGGGAAAACTGTGATGGAAGCGACATCACTATCAGTGGTCATGTACCGAGGGAGTCATTCATCACTGTGGTCATGTACTAAGGGAGCCTACAATGTTATTATGCACCAGCTTTCAAGGCCCACTCCCTTTTGTACCTGAGTAATTGGTGAAAGAGGTGAAAGTGTGGGAGAGACTTGTTGGGACTGGCTTCTCCTCGAGTCTGCGTTCAGTGAAAGGGGACTGACGGTTGGCTGCCGGTGCTGCTGGGAAGAGGCTGGCGTTGTTGTCATTCCTGTCACCAACAGAGAAAATTAGCAGGCCCAATAAGATTCCAGAGGGATCTTCCAGAGGGATTTTCCAACTATTCTCATGTGGCTGAGTCAGAACACCAACACCATCAATATTTATTTCCCACCTTTTCTCCAGGAGCTCACAAAACAGCTGAAAAATGTCTTTTGAAATTGGCATCAGGGTCGAATCAAATCAAATCAAATCCTTCAAAGCAAAGAGGATCTGAGTTTTGCTCCTCCCCTCATCTCAGGGAGGATATCTCTGCTAAATCACTCTTCTCCAAACTGGTGTCCTCCAGATGTGTTGTGCATTAAAATATCAATGATTATCAGGCAACATACTGAATAAGAAATCAGAGGCCAACACATCTGGAGGGCATCAGGCTGGGAACGGCTGTAGTATCTAACACTCCTCAGACCATACCAGCCTCAAAAAACAGACTAAAGGAAGCAGTCCTGACTGAAATAAAAAGCCCAACTGTCCTGGACAAGATGGCAAGAAGATGTCATTCCAGAATGCGGTTTGCCATGCATCCAAACTGCTCACCCTGATTGGCTGTGCTGATCCCCATGTGCGTCAGATTGGCAGTAAGGTTCCCGGTGCTGTTGGAACTGCTCAAGGACGGAAAAGTTGACTCTTCTGGGTCTAGCGGTGTTGGGAGAGGAGAAGGGAAGTGGATATTTGTCAGGTCCGGCAGTGAGCCCCCTGTGTTGTGAGCAGCGGGGATAAGCGCAGTAGTGTTTTCTTGGTCAGCTGATGGAAATATGCTGCATTTATGACAAAGACAGAGAAAAGAAGTGAATATTTTGTTAAATGTAGGCCAAGGCCTCATGATTTAGTGGGATTCACAGAAGTAAACAGGGTGATGACTCCTGCTTGGAATCTGGATCATGACAATTTTATCCTCCTTTCTTCCCAGAAAGTAAGTATGTTCTTCAAGTGGCACTTAGAAACAACCACCATCTTTATACAAGTTAGCTATCTAACAGAATGAAGTCTAGATAGATATTAAAAAAAATCTTTCTAGAAAATGCTAATAAACGTTTTAAAATGTTTCTTGAGAAACCTAATCAAGGTAAGTACCCATTACAGAAACTTGAGGGTTTCTACAAACAAGGTCTCCCCTGACTACACTTTAAAACCCAGATCAGGACTGAGTTTCCAAACAATCAAGCCCAGATTTAGACCTGCTTGTTTAATCTCAGCTTCCTAACATTCCCATCTTCAGGTGCGTCTGTCTCTGTATATTCTATAAATTCATACTTTACATGAGACCATGGTTGGCACAAAATCAAGATTCACAACTAGAATTTTAAAATCATGATGCCTTGAACAAGCCAAAAATAGCCTAGTTTGCACACAATGCTAGAACATAATGAATGGGGTCACATATTGTGTTCAATTCAGCACAGGAGGGGAGAGAGGTCAAGCACAGTAGACTTGCCCTATTCACCCCATAAGAAGCCTCTAATTTTTTTTCAGCCAAAACCCCAATCAACCAAAATGTTCTGGGTTTCTGTTCAGCTGAATTTCTGAGCCACAATTATTTGGTTCAGAGTTGAAATAAAGCAAATTTTCTATTTTGTGCACACCGCTAATGTCAAGCCTACCTCTATTACAATAAGCTACAACGTCTGAATTGAATTATAGGGAAGGGTATTAACTGTGGGTTGTTCAATGCAACGGCAATCCTCAACTATGTTTAATAGGAACCATGACTAGCAGTAACATCAAAAACCATGGTTTGTTAATTCAGGCACTATAGCAAACGTGCTAAGCCAAATATCAAAGAAGCATTATCTTGCTTTGGTTCTCTCCAATTCTTGATATTCCCTATTGAACAGCAACTATTAATATTATTGTAAGCCATTACATTGGACTTTTCAGTTGTGCCAATCTGCTCAGAACACATGCACAGTCGGGCAAAAGAACAGAGATTTATTTTCACAAAATGTCAGATGATGGTCCTTGCTTCATATTTACCCAGAAACCAAATATGCCCTTCCCCTTAAACATACTTGATTCCTGGAACTTCACAAGATTTAGGCCTTGAGGATCCTGTCTGAAAGAGAACAGAGCAGAGTAGGTCAGCATGAGGCACACAGCTGCAAAAAAAAGAAAAAAAGAGGTCATTATATCAAAGAAGGGATGTCAAGGTTGCTGCTGCAGCTCCCTCCAACCTGGATCAACCCAGACACCTGTACTTGTTTATTGAGGGGAAAAAACTGCCTCTATGGAAGAACTGGGAGATGTCTCCTAGCTCGCTTTCTCCAAATAACAGCCAACTCTTTTATGCCCCCATGTGAATGGAGAGAGCTGTGGATGATAAAAATAATATTTCTGGGGAGCTGGGCTGTGAAAGATGGGGATTTCTATGTTCCCCCCTCTCCCTTGACAAACCAAGAATGACAGAAAACAAATTGTAGGAATATGCTGTAATCCATAACACAGAATCCAATTTCTGGCTGCTTTAAAACTAGCATTAAAAATATTCTTAGCAGAGTATTTCAGCCCTGATTTATACACCAAACATACCATTCACTTTAGAAGACTGAAATAGCCCCTTCCACTTCTATGATATTTGCTGTACTTTTACAAGAAAGCTCCACTATTTATTATTTGTTTATTAAATTTATATGCCACCCATCTCCCCCAGAGGGTGACTCTGGGCAGCTCACAATTAGAATCAAACTTCAAAAATAGTTAAAAATATAAATATCCACATTAAGTTAAAAAATCAAACTATATAAAAAAACTATATACATAAAAAGACTACAACATTCAAGATGATGGGGGGGGGTAGAATCAATTACCCCACAAGCCAATTCCAATGATGCGAGCCCCCATCAGGCCCCCAGGCCATCTTGCATAGCCAAGATTTCACACTCTTCCTGAAGGCCATGAGAGTGGGGACGCACTGCACCTCATGGGTAAGTTGTTCCACAGAGGAGGGGCTACAGCAGAAAAGGCCCTCTTCCTAGACCCCGCCAGTCGAAATTCCTTGACTGGTGGGGTCCACAACATGCCCCTTCTGCCGGACCGAGTGGGGCAGGCTGATAACTGACAGTTGCAATGGTGTTAGTAGCTCATACAGCAGGACCTCAATTTTGAGCAGAATTAGTGCCAGTACCTTCTTAGTATCCCATCCTTGTTTTGAAAGATTCTTCTCTGTCTCTGATGCATCTTCCTCCATGCCTGGAACCGTCAGTAATAAGACTACAGTGTGAGAAAGAATTTATCAGCCAAGTGTGCTCTGAAAATCTGCTTCCCTGGGAAAGAGAAGTGGGCAGAGAGAATCCTTCCTAGTGATATCCCACCTCCTTTGTTCCCAGTGATTTCTCTACCTTTATGGTTCTTATGCATGCTCATGTGAGAGGTAATGGTGGGGGCAGGCTGTGTCCCCATGTCACCTCCTCAGTTCCTGACACCCCAGATATTGAAGGGAAAGGACAAAGGAGGTCCCCCCCAATTATTCGAACAAAAGAAGAAGCCTCAGCATAGTTGTGGCCTCTGCTTTTATCAGGATCCTTGTGTGCATGAAACATTTTCCTTACAGTTGAGCAAATATAAGTAGAAATCCTTTTAAAGAACAGAGAGGGCAGAACTGGGAGAAGGCTTGTGTGCATATCTATAGCCTTTCCCACTCTTCAGAGCTCATATGAACCAAGTGGACAGCTGTGCAGGGCTAGAGGGGGAAGGGAAGAAGATGAAGAGTTGAAGATCAATTCACTCTTATCAGGAAAGTAAAGGCAGCTGTTACTCAGGTAGAGTTACATTCAGCACAAGGCATTTTTCAAAGGTTCTTATGGGAGGATCATACACAGCTCCGTGACAAAACTACTGGCACCTCCAATTTAAACACCATCAAGAAATCCAGGGGGGCTGCTACCTGTCAGCAAGCAGACAAGCAGTAAGCTAAATACAACTTTATACTAACTTGGTATGAACTTCAGATATGATGAAGAGCACTAGGTTACCTATGTCATATGAATCTTGAGAATATCTGAAAGCTCAGAGATGCACTATTGAATGCTGATCCACTTAGTATATCCCTGAAAAGCAGGAGTATAGGAAGCTGCCTTGGACCTCATCACATTACTAGTCCATCTAACTCAGTAATGTGAATTGTGCCTAGTAGTAACTCAGCACAATATAGCACAGATTTTCATTGTAAGTCATTATCCACTTTATCTGGAGATGCAAGAAATGAGGGGAAAACCCAACTATTGTTTGTCATGATTAATTATGACACATAAACACAGGCATTAACACACCTTCCAGTGTTTTCAATGAGTCCATTTCTATTTTAATAATTATTCTTCTTCAAGATCAAATATGCATATAGCCAAAATGACTTCAGCTTTTCAACAGCATTTCTCTACAGTGAAATTTCACAATCTTTCCTAAATCTCTCCAACTCCTCCACCCCCAGCCTCTAGCCAAGTTTATGGGCCATCTTACAGCTTTTTTTCACAATTCCTGGAGCGTGCTTGCTTTTTTAAAAAAAGTCACCTCTTTTTTGCTGCATATCCTGTGACCCAGCTGAGAAAGGCTCTGTCTGAGTGGGGGTCATTGTGCTCTGGTGCAGGGCAGAATCAGAATTGGTCCTGGTGACATAGGGGAAGAAACCATTAAAACGCTAGCCAAGTAGAAAAAACATTTGGAATGTATACATCTTTCACTGGAGGCAAAAATTAAGCCCCCAAGCTGCTAAGTATTCCTTACATTTTATAATATCTTCTGCCTCGGATAGAGTTCACAGCCATGGTTCTTCATGAACTGGTAACCAAGCATAATGCAAGTGGTAGGAATGGCAAACTATTAGAGTTCAGTAAGCCATTCAAACTGACTACAAAGGTTCTGTTCCTTGCTCATACCAGCTGAAGGGAAACGGGTGATAAAGAAGAAGAGGATCCTGCCAACATTTTTTTTGTGGAAGTCCCTATTTTGTGCCTATGTGTGAGCAGCATTGTGGATTTATTTGCTCATGTCTTTTAGAACTTTCTCAATCTTGATTGCAACCTTGCTCCTTATGATACCTGACTCTTTGGTTTCATGTTTCATTGGTGGTTCTTACCATTTTTATTTATTGTACAATTGTACATAAGTGTCTCAGTCAGCTCAACCAGTTCAACCTCTGAAAACCAGAGCAAAAATACCTAGAGTTTAAAACCAACATACCCATAGCACAGTCTATTTATGGCTGTCCATAAGTGCTTGCTGGAAACTTCAGTTAATGTTCATTGAGACTGCCAGCTTCTTGCAATCAAGATTCAAAACAATGCTCCTTACTTTTAGAATTGTATGTTGAGATCTGAGTATGTGAAAGACCACAGTCATATACAGTGCATTCGGAAAGTATTCAGACCCCCTTCACTTTTTTCAATTTTATGTTGCAGCCTGATACTACAATTGTTCAAATTCATTTTTTTTCCTCATTAATCTACAC